CCTCGCGCCCGCCACCATTTGTGCATACCCGACCAACACCGCCACCAGCTTCGGACGTTACGCCTGTGCATCCTCGACCTCCTCCTGGAGAACGTGGAGCAGCGGGGGCCGAACCTCGCGCACCTTCTCCTGGGCCTCGTGGGCCCCTCCGCGACCACCGCCGTCGCCGGGCGGGGGAGACGGGCGGCGGCGTTGCCGAGGGCGACGGTGTGCCTGGAGGCCGTAGTGAACCTGCTGCAGAGCCCCGCGGTGGTGGAGCAAGAGCCTCGTCTCGCGGAGAAGTGGTGCGTGTGGCTGCTGCGCCTGCTCTCTCTTTCGCGTGTGTTGGTTGTGCACTGCATGCTGCATGCTGCATGCCACCCCTTTCCTCCTCGTGCTCTCCTTACGCTTTTTTGTCGGGGATATGTACATAGGAAGAGGGGGCTTTGGCGCTTGTACGGGCGCGCTTATAACGCCGTGAGTGCATGGCCCTGTGTCTGTGGCACGCGAATAGGACGAAATTTTTGGTTGTTCTGTGTGTGCGTGTGTTTTGCCGAGCGCGTCGTCTAAGAGGTTGATGGTTGCGAAGAGAAGATGTTTTTCGCGTATCCTCGTTGTTGTCATCTTGTTTGAGCGACCTATACATGCGTTCACCTTACCGTGCTTTCCTCCCTCGGCCGTCCGCACTACGTCGACACTTGACGACAACGGCGGCGACGACAACGACCAGTTCTCATCTTGTCTACAAGCTCTGCTCCTCCAAGGACACCCGTGTGTCCGCGCTGAACAGGCTCAGACATTCCTCCGGGGAGAGTTCCGACGCGACATTCTTCCCTCAGGTATGCTCATTGTATTTACCCTATGTGCGACACGAGTAGTACGTACGTGTGTGTCTTAAGGCGCGTGTTTTTGATTTAATCTCTCACGGTACGGCGGTTTCGGTCTGCGGTATGGATCTACGACAACGTCGATCTACTACAGGGCTGATCTACGACAAGGTCAATCTACGACAGGGTTGATCTACAATGTAGTGCTTTCGTTGCTTCAGGAAGAAAGCAGTGAAAGCAGTCGGCAGAACACAGAAGAATTGACACGTGATTCTATCGTCGGGGTTGGGTGGCTGCTCGGCGGCTGTGGGGCGACTGGCCGGGTTGTGGAATTTTCTGCCGGTACAGTACGGTTTTCCGCGCAAAAGAGGTTGTGGTTCGGCGCGAGGATGAGACGTTATTTTTTTTTCGCAAGGGTACATCGCCGCCTGAATCGCTTTTCCCTTTCATATTTTGCTGTTTATTGTTGCCGTTGTTGTTGTTTGTGCGGCAAGTTTTTTTTTTTTTTTTCGTTCACGCGTGTGTTTCAGCAGAAATGCTCTGGTTTGGATGTGGATTCCCTGTCGTCGGGCGGGGCGACACTTTCATGTGGCCCAATCGCCCCACGTGACATGCTCACCCAGATCAAAATGGTTTCTTAAAGGCACATCAGTATCCCCTACGGATACCCCCGTAAGTGCGCTGACTCGCCTGCTAAAACTCACCCTGAAAACCTCTACCGCCTTGGGGGAGCCTGCTAACAGCTCACCCGAAAATCTGTGCCGCCGGTACACAGAGGTGGACATGTTTTTTCCTGCTAGAAGGCTCACTCGTTTCTTGTGTGTGTTGTGCGCGTTGAAATCACGCCTCCTCCTCCAAGGCTCTTAGGGTTGCCCTCGGAGACAGCGGTCGGTCGATGATGATGATGCCGCCGCCGGAGACCAAGGCGGAGGCGTCATTCGGGCGACACTGCCTGGCGTGGCTGCTCAAGGCCGCTGCGATCGACCTGCGGACGTCGTGCGAAGGTATGTATGCCTGTGGAGGTGGCGGTAGGGGGGGG